GCATGTTGGAAGGAGGGGGAAATAGGGAGACTTAGAGAAAGGGGATACAATAGCAGAGATTTAAACTGTGGTCCTCTCTTTCTCCTCTTCCACCCAATCCTGTTCTCTTCTTGTCTATCCCTTCCTAAGACTTAATTTTAAGGGATGCTGAAAAGAACAGGGAAGTGCCTAAGGAAGGTACAGAGAAGGCCTGCCCTGGCACAGCCAGAATGGTCTTAAGACTCCCTTACTAGTAGCGCCTAGGTGATAAGAAGCAGAATCCCAGTCACTCCAGGGCTTAGACAGGAGGTTCTTTGGGTCCTCACTGAAGGGATGGTATGAGAGTGGAAACATGTTGTTGTACTTGAAACCCAAGCTCCATCTACCACCTCCCTCTCCCTGGTCCCCCGCCAGAAGGTGCAGCTTTTTTTTTTTTTTTTTTGGAATGTTGGTTGACCTTGGACTTTGTGACTTGGTGAAATTTGATCCTGAAACAAGGGGCACCCAAGGAGGGAGGGGAATGGGTCACAGGCCCAGAATGTGATCCTGGGTGGTTAATCTCCTTTAATGAGCCTAGAGTTCTTAGGATTTGTCATCAACTGTAGTAATGAAGATGGATTGGAAACTAAACGCTACTGTACTGTGCCCTTCCTCTTTGGTTTTTTTTTTAGGCAATTAGGGTTAAGTGACTTGCCCAGGGTCACACAGCTAGTAAACGTCAAGTGTTTGGTCTGAGGCCGGATTTGAACTCAGGTACTCCTGATTTCAGGGCTGGTGCTCTATCCACTATGCCACCTAGCTGCCCATGCCCTTCCCCTTTGGAGATAGGGGGATCCTGCTCCTCAGCACCTGCACCCTCCCTTAGAGCCTAAGGATTCAGATTTTTAGGAATAAGGACCAGTTTCCTGTTACCTAGCAGGCAGCTCCTGGCAGAGAGAGCTGGTAGGACATCAGCCTTACTCTCCACCCTCCATTAAGGAAAGCAGGTAATATACTTGAAGTTAAGAGCGATCATTGAGTCTCTAAGAATAGGGTTGCTAATGCTTGGAGTGATGCTCCCCCACATCCACTGCTAAGTCCTGGTTTGGAGCCCCCCAAAGATCCTCTGACAAGATCACATGCTATCAGACTAAGCAGGAATGGGTTAAAACTTAGGGGTCTGCTCCACCCCATCTTGTACCTCCCACTCATCATCACCAGGTATCTGCTCCACCCCCCTTCCCTCCTCCCTGTGCCTTCCCTTTTAGGCCTGAACCTGCACTGGGTCTGGTGTAGACTGTGGAACGAGAAGTATGTGATGAAGCAAGCAACCCCATGCTGGGCCTGGCACCAGAGATGTGAGATGCTGAAGAGCAAGGCAATAACTGAGCTGGAATGGGGGAAAACTGGAGTCTGCATCTTCTAATCCAAAACCTAATCATTAGAGATCTAAGATCCTGAGTCTTTTTTTAACATGTTTTCAAGCCCTGGCTACCTCAGTTTCCCCTTCCGCCTCAAGAGGAGGGACTTGATGGAGGAAGCAGGGAGACAAAAGGAGGGGAAGGGTGGGGGCTATGAAGGAAGCTAAAAGGAGGAAACCCATAGCAACCAGTCCCCACCCACTGCCACCCCCTTCCACCAAGTTGGTATGGAAAACTACACAACCTACAGCTGCAGCTGAGTGGGTCAGAGGGCAACAGGACACTTAAGATTTAGTCTTACTTACCTCAGCTCTTCCCCACTGTACCCCCTAGTTTCTGCCCTTCCTCATGCTGAGATCTATGCCACCACTTCTGGGTGCTACCACTGTTCAGCGTCATAGGGGAAGAGAGCTTAGAGACAGGCCTCTAAGTCTAATAGTAGTTTCTGGGCAAAAGAGGACATAAGACAAAAAAGCACAAAACTGGGAAATGCCAGATAGGAATGACATCCTTGTTTGTCACTCCATTCCCCCCTCCCCCCAATAAGCCCCACCTTATTCAAGACACAGAAGCCTCAGTTCAGAGCCCTCAGTTTTATTTACATTCTACCAAAGCACAAGATCCCAGGGGAGGGCAAGTCTTGGGAAAGAAATTGAAGGGCATGAAGTAATCAGGGAAGAAACTGGGAAGGGGATGAAGATGGAGGCAAGAGGGTAGAACAGAAAGAAAGGTACAAAAGAGACAGGGCCCTCCCCCTCCCCCCATCTTTAAACATCCTCAGTATCAGCATCTCCATGGCCCCAACTGGCGGCTTCATCTCCGAGGGGGGGGCAGGTCAGAGGTGTGTTCCGAGGTTAGCAGAGGTAGAGCAACTCAAGACTTAGACTTGGCCACAGCAAGTCCAATTAGCCCAGCGAGCCCAGCCACACCCAGAGCCATGCCCCCCACGATGGCCATGCCTACCAGCCCATCTGGAGAGAAGAAAACAGTGTGAGGACTTGAATGAGAAACCTGATTCTCTAAATCCCCTTCCCCTGGTATACCACTGATTGCCTCTCAATGACTCCTCAAATGTTTGCATATGAAATAACATGGAGAAAGGAATAGGCCTGAAGGGCATAAAGACTTCTGGGGAGAGTGAGGAGTCAAGGCTCAGAGAAAAATGCAAGTTTTTCCAAGTACCAGGCAATGGGTAACTTGGGAGATCTGAGGATGGGGGGCTACGGTTGGGAAGGTACTTTGGGAGGAGTCAGGAGTTCAGAGAGAGCTGCGAGGTGAGGGGTAAATGAGGCAGGAAAAGAGGAAGACTCACCTTTCTTCATAGCCTTATCAATAAGGCTTTCTAGCTCCTTGGCCTGGTTGTTCTGGGGCTCAGTCTGCAGTAACCCTCTCACATACTTCAGAGCCTTCTCATATTCCTGTGTGGAGTGGATGGGTGTTTACAAAAAGGACACCCCACTGTTGTTCCCTTCTCCCTCTCTTCCTGGACCAGGGGCCATACTCCCCCAAACCTGTGCCCATCCCAAACCCGTCTAATGCCGTGTAGTTCATAAACAGCACTAGCTGTGTGGGGGAGATAAGACAGGAGAGATAACAACCTGATACTTGAGGCTGCACCCAACCTCAGCACCCTGACCTCACTACACTCTCCATGCCCTCAGTACCTGTTCCTATCTTTCCCTTATCCTTCCCTCCAGCTTCCTGACTCACTGATACTACCTCCACCCTAACACCACTCCAGCAGTCCCCTTTCCCCATTCAGATGGTACTATTATGAATTAGGAATGCAACAATTTAGAATACAGCATACTGAAGCCAGAAGGAAAAGTGAGAGAAACAGAGGAGGGGTCCCTCACCTTGAGGCGGTAGTTCCCCACGGCCAAGTAGAAGACATAATCACGTTGCTCCTCTTTGCTTCCTTTAGGTAGCAGTTCTAGGGAAGAGGTGGAAGGAAACCACATCCAGGCTGAAATGCCCTCTGTGACCCTGAGAAAGTGAGTGCACTAGTCTGGGCCCTCAATGACCCTACCTACCCCAAACCAGCCCTCTCTGATTCCAAGGATGGCATTAACATGACTTGCACTGCTTCAAAGTGCACTGGCAACTGATTAGGGAGTATCAGTTTCACGATCTACTCATTAATCTGCATGAGGGAAAGTCAAGGCACAGATAATACTATAAACTAATAGTATCACACACATCACTTTTACTTGGCTTTGGTCAGTGCTGAATAATTTGGCTAGAGTTCCTTTCCCCTTTTCAAATATCAGCACAAAATTTGCTTCTAGGAAGCCTTCCTTGATTGACCCTATCAAAGTTTGATGCTTTTTTATTCTATGACTTCTGATTTATAGACTGAATTTGCACCACCTGTACTAACACTTATTGGTGTGTTGTTTTGCTATGGGGCCTTTAAAATCTCTACATGTTGTCCTGTCACACAACTAAGTTGGATGCCTGGAGAGCCATCTTACTACTGTGTTTAAAAAAAAAAAAACTTAAAATTTTGAAACACATACAGGGGCACCTATTTGCAGCACCAAAAAATCTTACTTTTATATATACAAGGTTCATTTTACAGACCAATTTTTCTAGTATGGTTAGTGTTTACTAATCATTAATTATTCTATCAAAGTCTAGTAAAATTTAAAGCCAGTTTCTCAACCAATAAAGACTGATTAGTAAAGGGTCTTTATCAATGAGAAACCATATAAAAATGCCATTTACTCATAATTTTTGAGAAATACATGTACAGGGAAATCTGTTATACTGCCCCCAGCCACCAATAAAAGTCTTCAAACAGAGAAGGTATTTCAAAGGAATGAATATCTGAGTATTTACCAACCAATGACAAGGGCAGTGGCAAGGAAAGTGTTGAAAGAAACCTGTCTGGCATTGTCGTGGGAAAATTCACATATGCAGAACTGAGAGTTGATTGCATTATGGAGTCTTGTGTTGAGAATAAGACCTCTAAGACAAGAGGATGAATCAAAGGACTAAGACCAATGGCAGAGGAGAAGAGATAGGAGGGTTATAGTTGTCAATAAAGAAAACTGAGAAAAAGAGGAACTGGGGAACTAGGCACCTCACCCTCCAGTAGTCCGATGCCCTTTCGGATGTCATCATTGTATTTGCTCCGCACCAAACACCAGGCATACTCAAACTGAGTGCTGTGTGATACAGAGCCCCCTGCCTGCTCTGTCTGGAACTTCTTCTCGAATTTCTGCCACCAGAGAGAAGAACGATTCAGAACAAGCAGCAAAGAAACAACATCACCACCAGAGCATCCTCCTCTCCTTGTCCTCCATTACTACTACTGCCTAATCTGGCAGACTCCCTCCCCTCTTCCCTTCCCTAAATGAACCAAGGCATCCAACATCCCAGTCCCTGGCATGTCTCCAATTGTTGTGGCTTCTACTCACTAACACCATCCCTCACAAACACCCTGAAGAAAGGCATTGCCAATTGGGTATAGAAATCTATCTTGCCCTACAGGAAAATAGAAGGGGAAGGGGATAAGAGAAAGGGGGGAGAAAGTGATAAAAGGAAGGGCAGAT